TTTTTTTCATTCAACTAACAAACACTCCAAAAAATATTTAAATGCAATTCCTTGAGGAGACAGCATTGGTCAAACACTAGTATTTGTAGCTAACTTCTGGAATTTGACCATGGGAAAGATATGGGATTAAATAAGATCTAGGAAGCAGAAGGAACCTGAATAAGAATGCTTTGTGTGTTGCATACTGAAATATTTTTCACAAGGAGGAGCACAGAAAGCAAGTAGTTCTTGTTACTGTGTGGTTACATCTCCTAAAATGATAATTTAGCAATTTAACAACAACAACAAGTGTATATATGTGTGTGTGTGTGTGTGTGTGTGTGTGTGTGTGTATACTTACAATACAGTATTTAAAAAATATGCATAACTCCATACAAAAGTGAAATATTTGAACTGAAACTCTCCAAAAAGAAACTGCATACATGCCCACTAAACACCTGAAAAGTGCCCCAAACACCTGGGGGGCGGGTGGCATGCCTATAATTCCAGCAATTTAGAGGCTGAGGCAGGATGATTGCAAGTTTTAGGTCAGTCTCAGCAACTTAGCAAAACAGTGTCTCAAAATAACAATATTTTTTAAATTTTTTGATTTCTTTTTTTAATTTATTTCTTACATACATGACAATAGAGGAGTGCATTACATTCATGATTATCCATTCACAGCACAATTTTTTTGTAATTCTGTATAGAAAGTATGTTCATGCCAAATTATGCCATTATACATGAGCGCTCTTATTTTTTTGCGTACAATTCTTATTTTTTTTTTGGAAAAGTTCAGTTCGGTTTATTATAGTGTCAAGTAGATTTACAACTATTGCACTTATCATTCTGCTTACAGAAGGCCAACATTAAGGGGGATATTTTTCTCCAAAAGAGATAAGTTTTCAGAATCTTCAATATGTTAAAATTACACAGGCAAAGATAGAAACCTCATGTCCCGTTCCCTAGCCCTGCCCCCTTCCTGCTGTTGTACAGCTTGCTGCCAATGAGAATTTTAGTCTGGATAATGGTTTAAAAGTCATCCCTTTCTCATTAAATGACCTTTGAGTGAAATTGGACAAGAATTCTCTTTATACTCTCTTCCTCACCCCAAACATAGAAAACACAGCTCCCATACTCCAAAATCAAATGTAACCAATAAACCTTGGAGGTGAACTTCACTCAAAGACAAAGTAAATATTACTTCCTTCCAGACTCCACGTGGCATTCAGGTCAAGTGCAATCACTGGCTGCCCAGCTTTTGGGCAATGGGAGAAAACGACAGAGGCTCAAAAGTGGTCCAGCATATAAAATTCTTCTCAAAAACAGAAGAAAGTCATAAACATTGTTGGGAAAGTGTTTTACATTTTCAAGAAATTCTATTCTACTGATGTGTTTGGAAGATTGTCTTCAACCTATTTGGCTTTAGCCCATCAGCTGTAACTGATTCAGTCATGTGAAGAACCACTTTTATCTTAAGCTTTGCAATGTATAACATTGGATGAAAGGAAAGTGGTTTTTTTTATTTACTCTAATAATTGTGCTGAGAAGAGCTGGTGGGGGCGTGGCTGGTGGAAAGTACCAGCCTTCAGTTCTCTTAAATTATTTTTCATTCTGATTATATTGCGAATAAATGAGTGGTGGGGGTTGGCACTGTTTTTCATCTTAACAGTTGCTCTGCATTCAAAGATGCTCTATGTGATTCATAATGTCCTACCATAACAAGACACAGCTTTTATATATTACTGGGGTAATGCAAAGAAAATGAATTTTCCTTTGGGTACCAGTAATTGTCAAAGGAATGACTGAAGATTCAGAGAATGTGCTTTATAATAACCCTGTTAACATAAAGCATAGACTGAGCAAAGAAAAACCATGGCATGTGTGTGGAAGAGTCAGATGCATTAGCAAGGCATCTTGGGGATGGTTTGGGCTTTTTTGACTAATATACATCCAATTTTGACCCCCTTCAGCTCCTTGGACCAAGAGGAAACAGTTACATAGGAGCATTTGCTGAGTGTGAGCTGACTTTGCCATGTGCTTAGAAATGCTCCAACTAGTTAATAAACTCTCTCTCTCTGCCCTGGTACTAAGGCTAATGTGCTCAGGCTGTTAGAAATAATTTGAATATCAAAAATGAAATTGAGATTACCAACCATTTCCTGATAGTTACAGCATATAGAATGTCAAACATCCTCTTTTTAAACTAAAGTAAAAATGAAGAAGCATGGTTAATTCATTTGTGCTGATTAAAACACACCGCCAAGTGCAACTTGGGTTTGCAGCCACTCCATGCGGCTGAGTCACCAGACACTCTCCCTGGGGGAAGGGGGGAACATGTGTATCTGCCTTGCTAATCCCTCCAGGTGTCTTCCTAGCCCATGTGCACACTCCCACTGTGAAGGAAAGCTAGCTACAAAACCTAGAAGTTTTCTGCTTTCAGAAAATTCTAGTGTATTGTGTACACCTCAGGTATTTCTCTCTCTGCTTAAAAAAATAGTGCAAAAACATCTGATAGTCAAAATGATAGTTCAAGCAAGTTTTCATGCCAGGGAACAGTGGAGCTTCACCTTTAGCTGACTTGTAGAATGTGAACATAGTTTTTGGGAAATATTCCAGATTTTCCCATTAGTTCTCCACTCATCCAGTCGTCATCTACAGATTCCAGCTCTGTTATTATATCCCCAGCCTTGAAGGAGAGCTCGTCTTCATTCTCCCCCTGGAAATCATACAAGGCTTTGGCCTTTCTCCCCTTCAGTGATATGGCAGACATACTTTTTGCCTCAGCTGGACAGGGCTGCACAAAAACTGCTGGGAAGATCCCCTCTCTGTCGTGCAGTCTGCCCCGATACCAGTCGGAGTCCAGACGCTCGAGGATCAGGATCCAGTCCCCCCTCTTGAAGGATAAGTCCTCACTGGTTTCTGCTGTAAAACTGTGGAGAGCTTTGCACCATTCTCCAGAAAGGCTGTTGTCCTGAGAATGTGAGCCAGAATCTTCGTTTTTGGTCTTTGGTGGTATCTTTGTTCTTAAAACATTTGCACCAGAGGTGGAATAATCCTCAACAAGTTCCACGAAGTTAAGGGGGAAGATCCCAGTTCTGTCTTGAAGCTCTCCTCTTGCCCATTCCTCATTCATGTACTCTTTAAGAATAATCATTTCTCCCTCTGAGAAACTTAACTCATCCTTCTGGTCTCCAATATATTCAAACCGAGCAACACATCTTGTATTTTTAACATAATGAGATGAAACAGATTCTCTTTTCCCATTTTCTCCTTCTGGAATATCAATGATTACTTTGACATAGTTGGCAGGAAATACACCAGTCTGGCTTCTGCATTTCCCTCTGTACCAATCTGTGTCTATTTTTTCAAGAAGATAAATAATTTCTCCAGATGTGAGATTCAAATCGTCATCTTGCTCTGCTGCAAAATCATGAAGAACAACAGCGTGAGGAGCACTACTGTCCACAGGTTTCTGAGCAGGGCTTGGATCCTTATGAGAGAGTTCTCCAGGGTTTTGTGGGACAATGTCTTCATTGGCAATTCCATGAGGCACAGACAGCATGTATTTTCTGTACAGAGGATGTCCTGGTTTGGGACGAGGGGGTAGCACCGGATCTTGACTTTTAAAGATATGACTCTTGGCTTTTGAGAGCCCAGATGCCAAGTGACTTTGTTTTTTCTGAAGATCCATGTCAGAAGAGGACCGACTAAAAGGCAGTTTTTTATTTGATGTTCGGGTTGCAGGAAGTTTTGGAGGAGGTGGCCTCTCGGGGGGCTCCTTTGGGAGGAGGCCATCTAGCTGGAGTAGGTTTTCCATTAATGGGTCTTGGTGGCAACCTTGGGGGTCCTCGCACAAAACCTCCGGTCTCACCAGCTTGGTTGGATTCCAAGTTTCTAGATCTGTCAGTATTACTGGGTTTTCCAGGTACTGTGCTGTACGTGTTTCCAATAGGTTTTTCAGCTGGGAGTGGAAGTGGGCTTTGCGGATCCTCATGTAAACCTTTTCCTGGTTTGGCTGGAATTCGAATTACAGTGGGCTTCCTGGCGGCTGCTGGTTGAATTGCTCTTTCTTTTGTTGGTTCAGTTTTTGTGGGGAGCTGAAAGGGATCTAGAAGCAGCTCTGAACTGAGGGATTCTTCAGCCGGGCTCCCAGGGGAGGTGGGCAAAACATCATCATCAAAGCTGATGAGGTCAATGTCCCCCAGGGACTTGCTTTGCAGAGCTGGAACTGGGGGTTTGGCCGCTGGCCCTTCTCCCAGTGACCTGAATGCTTTGGCTTGTGATGCCACTGAGAGCCGGGGAGGAACAGGGGCTGATTTCGTTGGAGCCGAAGGGCAGCTGGGGTTTTCTGAGGAAACCGATTTCTTCGTGGGCAAGGGCCGAGGGGCAGGAGTGGGGACTTTCTTCCCAGCATCAGGGCTGTCGGCCATGGGCCCTCCTCCCGGAATCTCGTGGTTAGCACTTCGGGTAAGGCCAGGAGTTGGTTTCTTTGGCAATTTGGGTTTGGTTACTGGCACACTGCCTGGTTCTGGAGGTGAAGAGAACAGGGTGAGCCCTTCCCTGGAGGTCACCTTGAGTCTGTTTTCAGCCCAAGCATCCCATTCTCCAGAAGCTCTGTTAGCCGCTGGTTTGGGAGCCACAGAAGGTTTCCCTGAGGAAACAGCAGGCTTTGGGGGCAGTGTGCGGGGGATGATCTCTGGTTTCTTGGGCGGTCCCGGGGTTTCTGCGTTTGTCTGACCCTCAAATGCTTTGATCCTTGAAACAATGCTATTTTGGCTTTGCTCTGAGTTCATCGTGTCCATCCTTGGCAGACTTTCTAAGTCGCTGGTATTGTCCAACATACACTGGGGCCAGCCTGGGGATGGCTCCTCTTCTGGGACCGCTGGGCTGATTTTCTGGGCAGTTTTAGCTACTGGTCTGAGGTTGCTTTTCCATCTTGGTTTTGGCACTGGACATCTTGGAGCACTGGGGTTTTCTGGACAACTTGCTTCTTCAGAAACATCAAAGACTATTAAAGGAGCCACACTGGTGGGGACATCGCCGGGTGAGGCTGCTGGAGAAGGCTGAAGAGGCTTGAGAGGCTCCGGCAGTGTTTGAGGCAGATTGCTGTTTATATCTTCTGAAAAGTCAGTCTGAGTTGCAGAAGTGATAGTGTGCCTTGGAGTGGCAGCAGCATTATTATTATTTGTAGTGTTAACTTGAACTTGGTTGATTTCTTTTATGACTTGTTCATAAGAAGGCGGGAGCTCAGCAGAAACCAGCTCATTCGGCCTCCACAGGCCGGGGGCAGGAGTTGGAGGAAATCCCAGTCCTGGAGGTGGGGCTCCTGGAAACCGGGAGGCTGGCCTCAGAGGCTCAGCTGCCACAATGGTGATCTCTGGGCGCCTCCTGTCTCGATGAAGTTCACTCTGAATAGAAGTCCGAGAAGATCTCTTGATTACGGCTCTAATGGATGACAAGGGTCCTTGGCTGGCAGAACAGTGCTCTGGTTTATTTCGTTCGTTGCGATCTGCGGCCGGGTGGACCGAGAGCGCACGGCCCCGGGCGCGGCGCGGGCCCCCAACCTCGCGGCGCTCGCGCAGCTCTTACTCCTTGTCCTCCCGCCGCTGGCACTCAGCCATGGGCGAGACGCGCGCAGCCGGGGACGGCGGGCGAGAAGCGGCCCCGGCGCCCGGTCCGCTGGCACCAGGTGCCCCTGGCCGGCGCCCTCTGGGTAGGAAAGCGGCCCCCGGAAAGGAGGTGGGGGCGGCGGCTGAAGGAACCACCACCTCTGCGAACTCCACCTGCAGCCGGAGGGGGAGCTGCCCGGCGCGGGCCGAGCCGAGTTCCCCGCCTCCTGGCCGCACACCTGCGGCCTCCTCCCTCCCGCTCCCACTCGCGTACAATTCTTAATACACCTTTATACCACCATTTATCATATCTGTTTGTAACAATTAAAAATAAAGAGTAGGGCTGCAGCTCAGAGGTAA